TACTAGCCTTTCTTTGGCAAATTCTTTTATTCATGTAAATTCATAGTATCATTATTCAGTCGTCTGTATATTTTCCTTGGCTTTCATCACCTTTCAGTCAAATCGTGTCTTCCATTATATTAAATTGATGCAAATGATATGAGCATTTGTTTGGTGAAATCTTTTATTCCTATAAATTCATAACATCAATATTCAGTCATCAACGTATTTTTCTGGCCATTTGATAAACTTATGCCACCTTTTGGCTAAATTGTGTATCACCTTCAAATTAGGTTGCTGTGAAAGTTTCTAGCATTTTTCTTGTCTGAATAATGATGAGATGAATTTATACCCAATCACAAATTTCATAAACAAAAGAAATAGTGCTGAACTGCTATTTAATCTGTCCTTCTAAATTGAAGTGAATGCTGGAAAATCTCCTCAACAATAAAGAAGAGGCAACAGATATGGTTCTACAGAACGATGCTGAGAATACCATAGTCTGAACATGTGAGCAATGAAGAAGTTTCAAAGAAAATGGGAACAAAAAGGACTCACTTTTTTCACCAACAGCAGCAACAACTAAAATGGATGACATATGTAGCTTGATGAGAGAATAATGATATAATCAAGATGTTGATGTTCCACACTACTTTAAATAAAAGGCTAGGAAGGAAACCCCCATCAATACTAGAAAGAGCAATAACACCTACTGGACTTGAGAAACCTATTTTATATATATATATTATATATATATATCTCCACAGACACTGTTTCATACAGCTCATCAGTGTGGCTAGACATCCAATTGCCTCAAGCCAGGACTGAAACCTAACTCTCTGTGTGCCTATATATTGTGACCAAAGTTTTGACCATGCTGGTCTTCTTAATTAAAAAAATGTAAAATGAATAAAAAATAAAATTAAATAAATATAAAAAATAAAAAGAACTCTTTATCAAGCCGGAGTAATTGCTCTTTCCCAGAAACTAACTAAGGTCTGCTCAGCAGAGTTACAGTATAAACTACAGGTAAACTCCATAGGTGTTGAACAAACACAAATGTGTCTGCGCAACAGGGACTGGTTATCTGCCCAAGTATAGATGGATGTGTTCAGAAAACAAATAGCTGTCCATTATGTGTGGAGTGGTGGGTGTATTTATATGTATATGTATATAAAAATATATATGTGGATCTAATTGGCCAGTTAATGAAATTTGAGGAATAAAAAGACAACAAAATGATAAAAATATTGTCAATAAGTCTGATATTTATTATATATTAGCCTTTTGATTTTAATCGAAGCAGAAAAAGAAAGATTTTAATGTCGGAATTTTTGGACATGCCTGTGATCTTTTTAAAGGAGACAAAAACAGACACCTTTAAAATCTTTGTCTTTTGTGCTTCATTTTCATCAAAAGACCAATTAATATAGGTTGAGAATCTTTTATTTGAAAATCTGAAAGTTTTTCAGGTGCTAACATGACTTGCCGCAAATAGAAAACTTCAGAAAGCACTGGGAAATTTCCTAGGTGATGTGCAGTAAGTGATGTGCATCTTCCCTAGTTGCTGAAGTCCCCAGCCCAACTACATAGCCAAAGTTGCACCAGGTTCTGTTAGCAATCATCACAGCAACACCTTTGTTTGTGAATTACTTACTAAGCATTTCATGCTCATTAAAGATATTATGCAAAATGTTAAAGTCCTGCATTTATGTATTTTTGTAAGTAGTGATCATGTTTTTTTTGTTCACTTAGAGAAAGTACAAAACATTATTTTTACATGAAAGCTTAATTTCACAATGGAAAAGAATCCATGTGAGCATTACATGACTAGTGTCATTACCTGTATCTGTATGTACACAAAGTTTATTAAATTTTATATAAAACTATTTTACAGGTATATGTGTGTAAGCTGTTATGAAATGTAAAAGGGTTATATTCTGAGGCTGCCCCATTTTATAGATGCTATGTACTTGTATTCCAAATCTGAAAACCGAAGCATTTCTTGTCCCAAGAATTTTGGTATTCGCAAATATCATAAATCTTGTTGAAATATTATCATTTTGTTGTCTTTTTTTATTCCTTAAATTTCTATTACATCCACATATAAGAATCAAACATAAGCCATCTTTCATTTTAATCATATATATAATTTTTTTAAAATGTTATTTGTAAATGACGATTAATATTTCTTTTTCTGAAAACATAATCTTATTCTTTCTTTCTGTCCATCCATCCTGGGTAAGATGATAAACTATGTCCAGCAGCAATGCCTCTGATCTGAAGGTTTTGAGGAGCATGGAACCACCTCTTAATTGCTGTTGTTCCCAGATCCACCCTGACCTAGGGTAGTAGTGTGACGAGGTACTAAACAAATGACGGGTCATCAATAAAAATGTGAAGGATTGTCAATCAAATGTAGTGGACCCCACCACATTTATTTAACTTTGATTAGGAATGACGGGGAAAGAGACAAGCAAAGACACTGGAGGTCACCATCAAATGTGACAGTCAAATGCAATTTATATTTGACGTAAAATAGCACATAGCAAAAATACAAGACAGAACGTAACGGTTCAAAACATAACATTTGAATTTATTTGTTTTGATATATATGCATATAGGCTAAATGTTTGATAGTTACATCTTTTGGATTTGGGAAATATTTGTACCGGAGCTCACAAAGTTGAATTAATTATTAAACTGTAGTTTTAAAAGAATAAAGTTCCTGTTGTATGTTAGGAAATGTAAGTTGGTAGAGTTCAGAAGAGTTAAGAGTTCGTACTTGTGTGAATGTTGGTAATGTTCTTTAATGTCTGACCACAAAGTCAAGACGAGAGTTCTTGAAGGTCACATTTTAGCAGCAAGGAAGGAAATGAAAGAGAAAATGGAGAGAGAAGGCTTACTCGTATTTTGTTTATATAAGGTGGTGTATCACATGACAGGCTCCGGCTTTGTATGTGGGAAAATTATTCCTTGTATGCAGGTGATTTGATTGGTTGGAATTGACCAATCAGCAAGCTAGTTTTGTGGAGATTAGCCAATGAATGCTTGCCATATGGTCTGTATGTATGTATGTGATGGTGGTGATGATGATAATCACCATAGTAGCACCTGTTAGGGTCCCAACTATGGGCAAGTAGTTAACCATCAAACTGGGGTCAAAACACTATGAAAGTAAAAAAATAGGTTTTAATACCGGCAACAAATTTTTGAAGGAAAAAAATATTACCAGCAATAAAAATTTTGTTTGCATTAAATAACCCATTGAGGTTGGTATGCTGTAAAACAAAACAAACCAAACCTTTCTATCCATTAACTTTACAGCAAAAGAAAATGAATGGAATTTCTATTATCATTAATCTTGGACAGTTGTCTGTAGCAATGTTGCAGTCAGAGTAGCTGATCCAATTCCATTTTCATTATCTTGGCTGACAGTTGAATGCACAAGCACCATTTCTAATGTATAAAGGGATATTTATCGGCAGTATTTACATTAATCGGATTATTGTCCTCATCTTTGTCGCCATATTTGTCAACATTTCGGCCGTTGTACGCTCCGGCCTTCTTCAGGTGGTTGGAATTTCGAACTGAACCCTTTATTTCGATCACTGGGGTAGACTGTTCTAGTTCCACGTGCCATGTTTGATGGATGTCAGTTATCAGTTATCTCCTGCTAATTTTCCCTTTGAAAGTTCTCCACTGCCTTAACCACTGCCTTAAAGGGTTCAGTTCGAAATTCCAACCACCTGAAGAAGGCTGGAGCGTACAACAGCCGAAACATTGTGACAAATATGGCAACAAAGATGAGGACAATAGTCCGACTAATGTAAATACTGTACATAATACCTCATCTCAGAAATATAGAGAGACTTGGGATATTTATCGTTTTCAAGATTACAAAAAAAAAAAAAAATAAATAAATCTGATTTTGGATGACAGGTGACTTGCATGATTAACAACTTGGAAATTGTTATAATAAAAAAAGAAGAATTTTGGGCCATCATGTCCACAAAAAACTCTCCTGGGTATGATGATAAACTACATCCAGCAGCAAGGCTTCTGATCAGGAGGTTTTGAGGAGTGTGGAACCACCTCTTAATTGCTGGTGTTTGCAGGTCCTCCCTGACTCAGGGTGGTAGTACCTGTTAGGGTCCCAGCTATGGGCAAATGGTTAATCCCAAAACTGGGATAAAGACACTATGAAAGTGTAAAGATAGGTTTTAATACCAGAAATACTTTGTAAAAAAATTATTTCCAGCAATAAATTTTTGAAGAAAAAAAAAATTTTATCAGCTATACAGGAAAAAAATATTACCAGCAATAGTTTTTGGGGAAAAAAATTATTACCAGAAACACATTTTAAGGGAAAAATATTACCAAAAATAGATTTTTGACAAAACAAAATATTACCAGCAATAAAAATTTTGTCAGCATTAAATAACCCATTGTGGTTGATATGCTGTAAAACAAACCCACAAAAAAAAAACTACAACATAAAATACACATATCACCAACTCTCGTAATTATGTCCACACAAACATGTATATGGAGAAAAGCTGAGTATCATCTACCATGTATCCACTTGTGAAAGCAGAATAACATATATCATATTTTTATTACTTCAAAGCTCCCAAGAAAATTAAATTTGGACATTAAATGCTGCATAAGGAGTTGATATGCTGTTAAACAAATCAAGCAATGATTATCAATTAACTTTTTTCTTTTCTTTCTTTATTTCCTTTTCCTTTTCCTTTTCTTTTTTTTCTATTTGTGAGCAGATGTTTTTAATTCTATAATTGAGTCCTTAATTTTGTTTTTTTTATTCTTGCAGGGAACAAGTTCGGGTCAATGGTTTTGGTTTGTTTCTTTTGATCCTTTATCCTGGCGCCTTTGTAGAAATGTCAACAGAACATCTTCAGGTGATAGCGCCAATACGCCAATTAAGAATCTACTGTGCCGGTGTGTGGCACAACTTCATAATTGTCCTTTTGGCTCTCCTTGCCCTTGTTTTATTGCCAATGGCCTTGATTCCATTCTATACAACTGGAAATTCTGTGGTGGTCAGCTATATTGTCCAGGTTAGTACAATTCCTTAAGAGACTTTAAAACTGTCACTGTCTAATGCAAATCCAGGTTTTTGTTTTCCGTATGAGTTTGTTAATCTGCAAAGAATCGGCAGTGATCTTTATTTTTTGTTGTTAACTGTATCGACACCACTTTTTCTTTCTGTGGTTAAATGTGCTTGAGTTTTTAATTTTAAAAAAAAAATCATTTCTACTTCCTGTAAACAATAATGCTAGCACATTTGCTCAACGAATTGTTCCAATTAGTCACAGGTGGTAATTTATAGGATATTATATAACCCACAAAGACAAGTGTGAATAGATGAATTGTTGATAGTTCTCATGAGTCAGTAACCCACAAGATTTATTTCGTCCTATTGGCTAGTCAAGAATTTGCTGATTGAATCATCATGCAGGCAGGTAAGCCACCACATAAAAGTGGGGATACCTGTTTACTTCTCTCCAGTTTTGATTGTGTAAAGCTGTTTGTTTTCCCTTTTGGACTGTCAAGTCAACCTCTCTGCCTACTCTTTTCAGGGGACAAGCCCAAGCCAACCCCATTGTGTCCTCTTTTCAGTTGTCAAGGCCAAACCAACCCCTCTGCCTCTCCTTTTGAGCTGTTGAGGCAAAGCCAACCCCTCTGCAACCTTTTTCAGTTGTTGAGGCTGAACCAACCCGACTGGGTCTTCTTTTCAGCAGTCGAAGCCAAGCCAACCCCCACTGTGTCCCCTTTTTTCATGGTTGAGGCCAAGCCAACCCCCACTGTGTCCCCCCTTTCGGTGGTTTCAGGCCAAGCCAACCCCCACTGTGTCCCCTTTTCGATTGGTTGAGGCCAAGCCAACCCCACTGTGTCCCCTTTTTAGTGGTTGAGGCCAGCCAACCCCCACTGTGTCCCCTTTTCGGTGGTTGAGGCCAAGCCAACCCCCACTGTGTCCCCTTTTCGGTGGTTGAGGCCAAGCCAACCCCCACTGTGTCCCCTTTTAAGGTGGTTGAGGCCAAGCCAACCCCCACTGTGTCCCCTTTTCGGTGGTTGAGGCCAAGCCAACCCCCACTGTGTCCCCTTTAATACAATTTGAGGCCAATTGATACCCCACTGTGTCCCCTTTTGTGGTTGAGGCCAAGCCAGCCCCCACTGTGTCCCCTTTTTTTTGGTTGAGGCCAAGCCAACCCCCTACTGTGTCCCCCTTTTCGGTGGTTGAGGCCAAGCCAACCCCCACTGTGTCCCCTTTTCGGTGGTTGAGGCCAAGCCAACCCCCACTGTGTCCCCTTTTCGGTGGTTGAGGCCAAGCCAACCCCCACTGTGTCCCCTTTTCGGTGGTTGAGGCCAAGCCAACCCCCACTGTGTCCCCTTTTCAGCCATTGAGGTTAAGCTAACCCCTCCCCCTCTGCCTTCCCTTTTTTTCTGTCAAGGCAAAGTCAAAACTCCTCTGTCTTCCCTGGGTGCCTTCCATTAATAAGAAAGACTAACAGATAATGATGGTATTGGAACTGGGGCTAGAGATTAACATATTTGCATATAAGGGAATATAACAAACCCGACTGGAATTGGAACTTGGCTCTCCAATTTCCCATTCTGACTCATTATCCATTACACTACCCACACATCCAAGCTTATGGCACCTGGTATTTCCAAGTGGTCACCCATCTAGGTACTGACCAAGCTTGACATTACTTAACTTTGGTGATTGGACAAGAAACGGTGATTCAACATCATATAATCATAAGACTGCTACAGCACATTGTATTCTCAAGTGGTCACTCATATAGATGTTGACCAGACTCAATGTTGCTTAACCTTGGTGATCATACACAAACCAATGTTTCAAGGTGTTATGGCTGTAAGTTTCTGTCACACCACCCACACTTCCAACACCTGGTATTACCAAACAGTTACTCATGTAGATATTAGCCAGGCTCGATAATTGCTCAACTTCAGTGGTTGTACAAAATCTGTTTTTTTTTTTTTTAACATGATATGGCCGTAAGCCACCACGCTGTATAACTTCAAGAAATAGAAAGATAAGTTGTCAAAGATTGTACGGTAATGACCAGAATTTGATGGAAGACAAGAAAGGCTTATAGTGATGAAAAAATATTATCAGTCATCATCATCTGTTTGATGACAGGGTGTGACTGTAGGGTTGTTGGGCATCTGACCAGTTCCCTCCACATATCTGGGTTAAAAGTGGAGAGGTATTCATTCATATGTCGCATGTCTTGGGCAAGTAGATCTGATGGAATCAAACCACACCCAATATCCTCCTCCTTGGTCGTAGACACGTGGCCACTGATTCCATCAGGAGAGCCTTCCACCCAAGCTGTTGACTTCACTTGAGGAAGCCCTCCATCCAGCAATGTCGTATCATCACTGCACAGGCTGCATCCATAGCTACAGAGCCCAATCTACCCCATTGTGTAAGATGGCCGTTGACCTTACAAGTAGGTTCATCTGACCTTTGACTGGTTTTTTTTTTAATCCTGTTGGTTTTCTAGCCATCTTCCACATTAGAAAAGCCTGGTTGGGGAACCAGTTTAGTCATTAATGACCTGACCATGCAGCTGTGTTACACAGTGCCAGTAACACTCCTAGAGTGACCTGACATAAAGTATATGAAAGGGAAATAAAGAAGAATAGATAAGACATTGAAAATTTGAGTTGAGCAATTATCTTATATTCAAAGTTTAGCAAACACCCCCCCCTCACAAAATGGTAAGATATTAGGCAGATGAAGACACTAATATTTTCCCATTATGTGGGAGGTATTTCTGAGAGGGTATTTCTGTCAAACTCTGTATAAACAAAGTTCCTGCAAAATGAGATTTTGACAACAGCCAATAAGGTATCATTATCTGTCCAATGATTGGGTGTGACTGTAGGTTTGCTGGGCACCTGATCAGTTTTAAAATATCTGGGTTGAAAGTAAGAGAGGTATTCATTCTTACATAGAATGTCTTGAGTAAGTAAACCTGGGAAAGCCCATCCTTCTCAACATCAAAATTTTAACTTGAAGGTTTGCATCTGTCTATATTTCTGAGATGAGGTATTATGTACACTTTTTACATTATTTGAACCATTGTCCTCATCTTCTTTGTAGCCATATTTATTACATTTCAGCCCTTCAGTATCTGTCTATATTTCTGAAATGAGGTATTATGTACACTATTTACATTATTCAGAGCATTGTCCTCATCTTTGTCACCATATTTATTACAACATTTCAGCCATTGTACACTCCAGCCTTCATCAGGTAGTTGGAATGTCAAACTGAACCCTTTATTTCGCTCACTGGGGTAGACTGTTCTAGTTCCATGTGCCAGGTTTTAACGGATGTCAGTTATCAGTTATCTCCTGTTAATTTCCCTCTGAAAGTTCTCCACTGCCTTAAGCTGGTATTGAACTCACACTCTTTGGGTCCTGCCACTGGATCTAACCAACGCCTTTATCCACTGTGCCATGTGTCCTTGAGGCCAACCACCTGAAGAAGGCCGGAGCGTACAACAGCTGAAATGTTGTAATAAATATGGCGACAAAGTTGAAGGTTTGCCTTTAATAACAATAATACGAATAATAAAAAAATGAAGATCTCAATTGTGTGCCGACTGAGTAATGTTGGCAGAGACATGGATATATATTATTGGATCTGTACAGGCATTTAGCTTGGCTTTAAGCCACTATTTTAAATGTTTTTACTGAATATTTTACTTCGATATAAAGTTTGCTCACAATTTTATGGTCTTTCTTTATTAACTTCAGCCATGATTTTATTACTATACAAATAAACTGCATTATCTATAGACTCTTTATTCTGCTTATTGTACATATTCATCAGGTATACTAAAGTAATTGGAATGTGTTCAACATTACTCACTATTTTATTGTACTGCATTTGACCTCTTGAGAAGTTGGGCTTTTAGTATCAACTCATTTCAGGATAATAAAAAAAAAAAAATGCTGTTTCTTTTCAGGACAATCATGGCTTGCCACAGGTTTCTTTTCTCATCTGGGAATTGTGTTAGTTGTGTTAGTTTCATGGGAAACAATGGGTTTTTTTTTTGGTTTTTTTTTTTTTGTTGCTTTTCAGTTCAGAATTGTCTTTTTAGACTGGCTGCCATCCAAGGTTAGATAACAAAGTCTACCTTGCTATTTAACCTTTACATGGTAGGGAGAAGAAAAGAATTCATTCTTTTTACCAAGGTCATTGGTGTGATATGATTGCAACAGCTTAGGTTAGAGCTTGAATTGTACTTATTAATCTTCTAAAAGTCATGCGACAATGAAATCAATGAAAAAATATGTTGTCATTTCCGCTTCTGTTGATCTTTAAACAAGTGACTCCATTAATCAAAACCTTTACAGTCAACTTCATATAGTGCCAACCTAATTATCAGAAGGTTAACTTGAACAGTTGAACATTAAGCTGGTCTCCAGCTGCTAAAGCTCAATTTAAAAAGGTAATCTATTTTTTTTTTAAATTAAATTAAATTTTTCATTAATTTTACATGGGGGGAAAAATAATTACTATTATAAATTATTGGTATTAGTGTGTGTGTGCGCGTGTTATTATTAATCTATATATATATATATATATATATATATGTGTGTGTGCGCACGTGTAATGTGTATGTGCGTGTAATATATGTGTGTATATATATATATATATATATATATATATATATATATATATATATATATATGTGCGTATATATATTGATATAATAGGAAAGGACTGTTAGATTGATGATCCAAAGTTCTTTAGTATTTTTGTTTTTATTTGTAAAAAAAAACAGTGCTCGATACACAAGGAGAGCCTAGATTATAATTATTTTTTTTTTTTTTAAATATGATTCCATCACGACACAGAAATTACTATGTTTCAAAACTGGTCAGCAGTATTTAAGTTTAATTCCTATATTAAACCTTAACCTCTGCATGGCAGTTTCATCCTCAAGCCGTGTTTTGGAATAATTATGGTATGAAATGTTTTACACCACACCTCCATTCAAAACTATAAATGAGTAAAATATTCTGTACCATAGTTATTCCAAAACAAGGCTTGAGGCTGAAACTGCTACCCAGTGTGGTTATGGTTTCATATAGGAATTAAACTTAAATACTGCTGACCAGTTTTGAAACATAGTAATTTCTGTGTCGCGATGGAATCATATTTTAATAAAATATAAATTATAATATATATGGTGTGATGGATAAATTGTTTATTATTTTTAACTAGTATTTCAATTTATTATAAATATTTTTATTAGTTTATATTGTATTTGTTTACTCAGGTCGTCAATAGACAGCACTGATACATTGCTTTCTACTGATCAAAAAATTAATTGAAACTTTTCACCTCTTCAGTTTTATGAGTTTAAAAAGTTTTTCTGTTTTCTAATCTTTGTGTTACAGAATTCAGCAGTTTCTGGCCCCCGAGGTCTGGCCATCGGCGACCCTGTCACAAGTATCAGTGGCTGCAGAGTGACCAGTGTTGATGATTGGTACAATTGTATTGGGGTCAGTATGAGGGAGAACACCCTTGGCCACTGTATGTCTCTTGATATCATTAGAGAACTGGACACCACATCTCCCTACTACAAAAAAAGTAAGCTTTTTAAACAATTGTTCATTTTGACTCATCCTATTTCTTTAGCTGTTCTTGATCTCATTTTGACTCCTCTTTAGCTGTTCTTGATCTCATTTTGACTCCTCTTTACCTGTTCTTGATCTCATTTTGACTCCTCTTATTTCTTTAGCTGTTTCTTCCCTCGAGGAAGCTTAATGAATGTTTAGAGATTTAGCTACTAAGCTTTGAGATTGACACCATTTCAGAATACCAAATCTGACTTACACCTCATCATTACATTAGACACTGATTACTAATCTGTTTTTTTTTTTGTTTTTGTTTTTTGCTGTTGTTTGAACTATCAATAGCGGTAGTATTGTTTTTTAATTTTTGTCTGAATTTCATATTTCAGCCAGTGTGCCCTCCGGCTTTTTATCGGATACTAGCCAGTGTTGGTTTGTGAATTTGGTAACTCTAATAATTCCTGAGTCAGGCAATATTTACCTTCTCAATGGAAACAAGATGAGCAATAAATGAGTAGTACTAAAAATAAGAACTAGGCATGGCAGTGAAACGAGAACAGTCTAACTCCATAGATTAAATAAAGTGTTCATTTTGGAATTTTCTGGAGGTTATCTAGATCAACATATACCTGGTGAATGCCAGAGAGTACAACAACCAAAACGTGATAACAATAGCAAAGATGAAGACGATATATTCAGACTATTGTAGGACAATAGTTTAGTGGATTAAAGTGTTGATTCTACCATTCATCTGTGCTTAGAATATTGGTGCCCCTGCTATTTACCTTGAGTTCCTTGATAAAATCCAAAGAAGAATCAGCAATATTAGTGGATATCAGTTGAGGAAAGACCTTTGGCCTTACTTCTGCTGCCTCAGTGTGTCTGTGGAAATCGAAACAGTTGATAGAATAAACAGGAAATGCATCCATTGGTTTAAATAAACAGGGTGCACGTGTTCCAAGCAGAAGAAAGTGCGTACTTGCATGGATGTGTGCCAGAAGAGTTGTGTAGGTGTCCAAATGTTATAAAACCAGTCCAATTCTTGATCAGGACATAGAGGCTGGTTAGAGGTTCACCAAAGATTTGTCTCTGTCAATTCCTGTGTACACAATCCTAACCTCTTTGATTCTCCCTTGCTCTACCCATTCGCTGCAACTCAAACAATAAAAATATTTAGATATTATATATATATATATATATATATATATATATTCAACACCTTATTTGAACCCAGCAGCAATATACTACAATATTGTGTTGATCTGGCAGCTCAGCTTCAATCACTTTCTCACTGCCATAAAGTTTCCTCTTTTCTATAAATACTTTCATGGTGATTGTTCAAATGAGCTCTTCTGACATTGAGATCTCATCAGTCTACACCTGAGCTGGCTAGATATAGCCCTAAGTTCTATGCTAACAGTTTTTTTTCTCTTACTTCTCGCATGTGGAACTCCCTTCCAGCTCCATGCTTTCTGGCCAACTATAATCTGCAAAAATTGAAATGCAATGTCAATCACTATCTACTGTCCTCTTGATTACTCTTTTCTCTTCCCACTCATTATTAATGTTTCTGTTCTTAATTCTTCCACACTGTGTAACTCTTTGTGTCTTAGTGGCTTTATTACCTTTGATGGGTTGATACTGATTAAAAATGTTGCAACTACTCAGACTACAAACGAAGGATAAATGGAAAGAAAATTTTGTTTCTATGGATGCCGATTTATTTATGGATTGTAATCGACAAGAAGTGTAAAAAGCTGAGGCTATTCAATGCTTTCCCAGGCTTTTCTCATGATGAAGGTGGCTAGACATCAAGATCTGCCAAAGAGTGGATGAATCTAGGGTCAGTGGCCATTTAACATAATGGAATAGACCTAAATCCATAGCTATGGATCCAGCCACTCTGGGGATGACATAGTATTACTAGACAGAGGATTTCTTTAGATGAGGGGTTGGCAACCTACAACATGCGTGACACATGTGGCACACCAAGCAATTTCCAATGGCACACAGCTTCAAATGACATCATGAAATCCAAACCAATAACTACCACAATGCTTTTCAATTTTAATATATACTAAAGTATATATCCTATATATTACTATATAAAATATAATGTAGAACAGGTATATTGACCCTGACTTGTATAAAAATCCGTATGCTATTGGCACACTGAATGATTTTCAAACCCTAAGTCGGCACATAGTGATCAAAAGGTTGCCGACCCCTGTTCAAGAATGATATTCTATGAGTTGATACCATGATTTGTTTTCGTTTTTAATTAGTTTTCTGATTTCCTTATTAATTTTTTTTTGTTTCGGTAGTTATTTTTTGTTCGTTTCTTTTTTCGTATGCGTCGATAAATACAAAAGAACAATAGAAAAAAAAAAAAAAAAAATTGAGCCTGAGAATAAAAGAGCATAAAACGGTGAACGTAAGTTATAAAGGTCCATAGACAATCGAGCATAAGTAAAACAAAAAAAAAAACTCACCTACAAAAACGCCTGATGATTATGCACCAACTATATGTATATTAGTACATAAAATATATTGTAGAACAGGTATATTGACTTTGACTTGTATAAAAAGTATGTATGCTGTTGGCACACTGAATGATTTTAAAACTCTAAGTCGGCACATAGCAAAAGGTTGCCAACCACTGTTTTAGACTGAAGTTGATGACTAGGATTCAACAGCCATGTGTCCATGACCAAGGTGAGCCTTGAAGTTATAGGGCACTTTGGCAGTGGTTTCACCTGGAGAGGGATGGGCTCTGCCAGGTCTACTTGGCCAAGACCTGATACTCATGAATAAATATCTCTCCAGCTTTCAAACCCAGGTATTTGGAGAGAATTTCTCAGCTGTACAGTGATAACACCTGATCATGGGACTGGTTATGATTGAACTAAAACAGCTTATGCAGGGCACCTAGTGAGGAACAAATTCCAAATTTGTTGTTAAATATATATTTTTACCATTTTCCTTTTTGCCCAATCTAAATTTTTTTCATGCTTTTGTCTGCATATATGTGTGTATGTGAGATAGAAGGTGGGGTGAGTTTCCAAAAATCAGGTCTTGAAAGCTTATTTTCTTCTCCAACTTGGGCAATTTTAAAGTTTTTATTTTGTTTCTTTGCAGATAGCACTCGAAGACTTTCACGGCTGTCACAAGTTATTGATTGCTGTAACAAAACAAGTAACACACATTTGTGTTTCATGTACCACATAAGGAGTTTCCCAGAAACAGTAAGCAAAAAAAAAAAAAATCACAAGAATATTTGTGTGTGTGAGATATATATATATATATATATATATATATATATATATATATATATATTATGAAGAGGCATGGTGGAGTAATGGATAGCAGCTTGGATTGAGGAATCTGAGAGCCAAGTTCAAATTCCAGTCGGATCCATTACATTCACTTACGGGCTAATACCCTTGGGAAAAATCTGAATCCTTTTCTTCTTCCCCCAGCTATAGGTAAAATAGCAGGACAGGCTGGGTTTCTCTAGCCTTGGGTGCCAACAAGTCGAGGAGAAGGTAACTCTGAATTCAAAAACTGGATTTGTGGGCTGATGTTCTCAGCTGACATGAAGAGGAAAGACTATATTAAATCCATTGCTAAGTCAGCTGCTAAGAAAGTTGGTTCACCGTTTTGTGCGGGACACATTTTCTCTCCAGAATCTATCTTACGTATCTATAAATCTGCCATTTATCTATGCTTAGAATATTGCTTTGACATATGGTCCAGTGCCACTGCTATTTACTGCTCCATGATAAGATCCAAAGAAGAATCAGCAATATTATTGGTCCTCATCTGGTGGCTCGGCTTCAGTTACTTTCCTACCAACATAAGGTTGCCTCACTGTGTCTTTTCTAAAAATACTTTCATGGTAATTGTTCAGATGAGCTCTTTGCTATAGTCCCTAGACTTTTAGAAGTTAAGTGTAGCACTATACTGGCAGAGGTGGCATGGTGGAGTAATGGATAACAGCTTGGATTGAGGAATCAGAGAGCCAAGTTCGAATTCCAGTCAGATCTATTACATTCACTTATGTGCTGATACCCTTGGGAAAAATATGAATCCTTTTCTTCTCCCCCCACTCCAGCTACCAAGATGAATTTTGCATCGGCAAAATGTAAGATTTTTTTCCAATTGTCATTTGATGCCAATCTGTCTTGTCCACAGAATTCATCTGGGAATTTAACTATATATATATATATATATATATATATATATATATATGTGTGTGTGTGTGTAAAAGTGTATATAAATAAATATAAGTATGTATAATTATTTATATATATATATCTTTTATTATTAGAAAGCGCTCAATATCAGAGATAGAGCTAACATAGTTGGTTGGATACATGTGAGTTTGTCTGATCACTAAAAGCGTGAAACCCAGGGTCACAAACTCGCATCTATCCAACCAAATATATATATATATATATATATATATATATATATATAAATAAAATGAGGAGGTGCTGAAAATTTTTTTACCTGATCCGCTTTCAAAAATTTTTTGACTTTCTGGAACCAAACCTCAGGTTGCAAACTTTTCAGCCACCCTATATGTGTATACATATTTTAAAATTTGACATTTTTTAAAAATAAAATGCAATTTTAATATTACCAATGCTAGTAAATAAATTTTAAGAAATATTTTTTTTTTTAATTTCAGAAATTTGCCTGTCTCCCTGCAAGGACAACAACTGACAGACCATCATGCAAATTTAGAAGTGACTGCTACACACCGAAAGTCGAAACAACCTGTGTCTATCCAGCGTTGGACAATAAAACAAGACTTTTAAGAATTCTTCATGGTCGAAAACCACCCTTGTTATTTCTTGGAGATCCTCTTGATTTACACTATTCGGGTAAGTTCACCTCTTCCCTAAATTGTTTTTGGATTTTTCCCTTGTGATGCAGCCTCAAATCTAAAAGGACAGGGTCTTTATCCTGGTCACAGCATCAAATACGCAACTTTGCTTAACCCTTAGCATGCTGGATGCAAAAATTGCTGTTATAGAATTCTCTCCATTTGCAGCCATAGATTCTGTCGAGAAAAACTAACTTTCCTAGCAGTAGACCTAACAATAGATTCAATTGAATGGCAGTCATCCCTAGCATAGCTACTGCACCTGTTGGTAGATGGTTGCAACTGGGTGTTAATTGCCATAGCTTTTCCCTTCCTTTCAACCCCAGTCAGGTTCATTTCTCCTCCAGGGTGGTAATGATTGCACATATAACCCACAGCGAGGTGTAACAATCCACAGCTCTCTCTCTCTCTCAAGTGTATGCTCACATTAGCAGACATCATTGTATTGCAATCACAGAGTATTATGGGGATAATCTTTTAATAAAAAAGGAAACAAATAGTGACTGTAAGTCTGACACAATGTGTTCTTAGTGCATTGGTTAGAACATCTATGGACTATAGATAATATTTGGGTCTAAAGTTGCCAATAGCATCAAGATACAAAAGTTTCAAAGCAACCACCTGCAGTCCTAAACTAAGGAAAAGGAAATCAATTGCATAAATTCATAAATAAATTAAGAAAGCAAAATTTTGGAGATCAAGTGCCACTCTTCGGAAGATAGGGAATTCCAGTTATAGGCTTATATAGCCAGGTTGCATTCTAGTAAGAGTAAGTTAGTTAGGCAGAGTCATAGTTAGAGTAAGAAGAAACTGAGAGAAATGTAGGAAAGATCTGATGTGTTCATCGGTCCTGAGAGAAGACTAGTAGCAATGAAGATATATCAGGTGTTGCCTACCTACTCCCCAGACAGGGCTGGGTTGTTTTAGTGGAACACATCTATTCTATAGTTAATAGACTCTCCCACCTATAATAAGTAGGAGTAGTAATAGTAACAGGCAGTCAGTGAGTCGGTCAGGCAATCAGTCGATGTCGGACGACAGTCGAATACTAAAGTAGCAGTGACCACAACTAGATTACTCTGCATTATACTTATTATATCAAGTTCCTAACGTTTTGTACATCAAACCTATTTTAGGAGCGACTTAGTACAAATACAAGCCTCCACAACATGGGTGAATTGATCCCTGAACAAAAAATTGTGTTTATCAAAACAAATAGACATCTTGCCTTTCTCCCCAAGTTTTTCCCAGTTTTGTTCGCACCAACTCTAAAAGGGATTGAACAATGGTGTTGGGTAGAAGTTGATCAATCAATAAAAAACTGACCAAAGGAACCTGCTATATGTTCACACTACTACTTTTGTGATGAATTTTGTTCTGAGCAATGTTGTAACCTTATTTTATCTGTCTATATCTCTGAGATTAGGTATTATGATTACTTACATTATTTACATTATTCAGACTGTTATCTGTATGCTCCAGCCTTCTTCAGGTGATTAGAATTTCAAACTGAGCCCTTTATTTTATCCACCGGGGTAGATTGTTCTAGTTCCATGTGCCATGCCTCTTCTGTTATTTCCCTTTAACTCAACTCTCCTGGTTCTCCACTGCTGTAGCCTGGTATTGAATTCACAACTTTTTAGGTCTAGTCACTGGACCTAACCAACATCTTCATCCACTGAGCCTCCTTGGGGACATCTGTGTATGAATTTTTCAGACTTATAAACTTAATGCCTCAGCAACCATTTTTTACCAGTCAAAGCTGATAGGAGTGTGTGGAAGCCAGCCATCAGTAGCAGCAGCCAGCCTTTTGGAACTGAAATGCCCGAAGCAGTGTAAAAATATAATAATTGTGAAATTATTATTGCAATTGTTCTGTTATTATTAATGCATTTTTTACCAGAGCTTATATTGCAATTTTTGTTTTTATTCATTGTTTTTCTCTATTAATGGTTTCCATATTCTTTTATTTTTGTTTTGTTTTTCAGTTGCTGTCAGTAATTATGTCCCAAACAGTTCAATGGTCCCTGTCAGCTTACCATATGTAATCGAAACTTTTTGCAAGTATCCTTTTGAATTGAATTTCTGACTTGGGGGTTGGGGGCTTACACTAATAGTCAAACAAATAGTGATAAAACACAGAAAAGCAACGAATGTTGCCTTTGTGGAGAAGACAAGATTGAACATGTTGCATAATAAAATGGAGTGCCCTCTAAAAAGACACCAGGTCTCAGGTATTTTCACTACGACTTTGACATCATTTACCCCTGATTTGAAAGCCTCGTTCTAGAGCAAAGCCAGTTTTAAAAAAACAAAAGAAGAAAGTGATAGATATGAAAACTTCTCTAAGGATCTGAATTCTAACATCACTGCATCACACGTAAAAAGATGTGAGGTGGTAAAATAATTTTCACTATTGGTGTGAGATGTTCTTTCTCTGCCATTGACATTCTCTGTTACTCCCTTGTTGCTACACCAATTTAAAATCGGAACATCTAGTGGATTTGGCATGTACTTTACATCGGAAGAATCTTGTTAAGCTGTAGTTTCTGTTAGCTGCTTCATTTTGGAATCAAACAGTGGAAATTCACTTGTTGGAAATAATGGCCAAAGCCAGAGCCTGTTTAAAGGAATTTTACTTTTTGGCAAATAGACAAGAGTTAACAAAAAGAACATCAAAGCATTAAAATTTGTCAGTCTTTTGATGTGAAAGCATTTACAACATGGATGTGTGTTCTTCGACTATGACAATAATCATTTTAAGGGAGTTCTCACAACTATTATATCTTTACATTGCTTCGGGCATTTCAGTTCCAAAAGGCTGGCTGCTGCTACTGATGGCTGGCTTCTACACACTCCTATCAGCTTTGACTGGAACTCTTGGATACACCTTCTGCTCCACCCTCTGTATCAGTCATGTGGATGGCTCTGCTCTACTGCTGTTGCCTAAAAGTGATTGTTTAATGCCGCTGTCGGCCCTAGACAGCAGTAATCAAATATGTAACCCCACTTGTTGGTCTTCAAGTTCCTTCAGACCACCATGGTTATCATCTAGCTGACTCTTCACTCGTTAGCACTGGTTACATTATGGTATGTACAGTTCCACTTGACCGAGCTGGCGTTTGTTCACGACCACTCACTCCTCTGCTATGTTGTGTTTTCTTTGATCTCAGAGGGTGAAAAGATCGCTGATGAAACAAACTGAAGTGAAGCTTGTTTGACAGCTGGAGCTTTAGAATAAAGAATTAACTCCAGTTAAAAATGTAACAATGATTTGGTTTATATATGATTTGTTGTATACAGCGGCTTTAACTCTTCCCACTTGTTATAATCAAACATCACTGGGACCCCCTTCAGCATGTTTTAGTAGTAATTTAAATTTCTAAGTTCTGGTCTTCAGGGTTGGCACAAGGTCTTGGTCAGGAGGTCTCGGCAAACAATGTGGATTCTAGTAGCAGTAGTGCGGGGACTCTCTAAGTTGTCCAAACCTCTGTCTTATATGGAGTCCTTCAGGGGTGGGTTTAACTAGGGTCTGTGTTCAGTTAACTTCTACCTAAAGCATCACCCTTTTCTAAATTTCCATATATAAAAAATGCATTTACTCAAGTGGTTTTCCAAATTTAGAATTGTCCAGCCTTCTTCCCTTTTTTTTTTTTTTTTTTTTTAAAATATAAAGTGGTCAGCAGAATCAAGACACCCCTTAACTCCAACTCCTTTCACACCTCACACTATAGCTCCATTGACACATTGCATTCTGATAAATGTTTGAGCTTTTGGGTTACCCAAAAGTACACTTCTAGTGAAGTAAACTTGCAAGCTTGGTTTCAGACTATTCTGATGCCCTCTCTCATTTTCATCTTATGGTTCTACTTTATATTTTTGAACTGTTCTTTATTTTAAGCTTGCATTGCTGCTTTAATGGCCATTTTTCTTAATCTGTTAGTGTAACCATTTCACTGACACCTTTTTCAAATTTCATGCACCAATAAAACTTTAAACACAGTAGTTGCCTTGTTACAAAAGTTAAATTTTAAAGTTAGTGTTTAATCAAGATCAAGGGCCTGGTTAGTGGTTGTTTATGGACAGGGGGTCTAGGTAGTAATTGGTTAGAGGACAGAGAGTTCCCAACCGTTTTTTTTTTTTTTTTGTGTCATCGCCCAATTTCACATGCCCACATTTCTAGTAAATATTCAAAAGCATACCAAAATTGTTGGGTAAAAGTTTGTTACTGGTTCATAAACTGACTTTATGATGGAGTAAAAATACCAAAGTGGGGTGACAAATTATATTGACTGATAACAGCTGTCTGGTAATGGCTCAGATCTAATGTCAAGGATCTAATTAAAGATTATGAAACTTTTTTTTTTTCTTTTTTTAAGGTAATATTTGTTGAGGGTTATGGACCAGACTAGTATCTGGTTAGTTAGATTCCGATACGTACACAGTGTTTTGGTGGGTGGGGTTCTAGGTGCTCATGCAGTGTTTTGCTTAGGGATTCAGATATCTGTGCGGTGTTTTGACCAAATTAAAAATAGGAATTGCTGCATTGAAGTTAAATGTATTTCAAAACAACTTTAATTTTGTATTTTTCAAATCAAACCATTTTCCCTTAACCTTTCTTTCCTTCAGATATTTGATTTCATTGTCTGGAGCTTTGGCTATCATCAACGTTGTGCCTTGCTATGCCTTAGATGGCCAGTGGATTTGCCGTGCCTTCATCGAAATGTCTTTGCGTCCCTTTATAGCAGATGCAGAGATCCGAAACTTAATATATTCGGTCATTTTAATTTACGGGACAGTCATTCTGCTGGCCAATGTCAGCATTGCTATGTGGACATTGTTTTCTTGAAGTTTTCAACCATGACTGACACTCCCCGCAACAACTCATGATATTAGCGCTGCGGTTAAGATTCGGTTTAGTGAAGTGGTAGACTTTTATAGCAAAATATTTATATGTATGTACGGGGTTGGGAGTGGGGGTTGCTCCTCCTAAGTAACATGTTTCAACTCGAGAAGGAACTTCTTCAGACTAATAATGCTTTCATTGATGGAGTCAGGTTTGTAGGAAGCTGAGAAATGTAACAAATGCTGCTTAGATTTTTACATAGAGAAATTTTAAAGCAGCTGAACTTCAAACAGTGTCGAGATTTTATTCAGTTTTCTGTTATTTTAAAATATCTCTACCACACACCTATCATATATATATATATATATATATATATATAATATTATTGGTCAATATATATATATATATATATATTTTCCAAGAGGATAGAATCCAGGACAAAGCAAGAATATAATATAACAGGCTCAAACACTAATATTCCATGGATATAATTTATTACATTGGAATCTAATTCATTAAACCAACAAATGAAAAAAAAATTGGAAAATATCCAATATTTTCCGATTTATTTTTGAATTTAGGGTCTGATGAATTGGATTGTGATTACGATTCAATGTAATAAATTATAACCATGGAATATTAGTTTTGAGCCTATATATATATATATATATATATATATATATATATATATATATATATATTAAATATAACAGACAATGAATGTCTATTATGTTTTATCATGAGTCTTTCCAAGCGTCATTATAATGGCTTAGTTTCAAGAGAAAATAAGGACAAAAATTGTCCAACATTTGGATATTTCTTTATTATATTGGTCGTCGATCTAAGCTTTCGGTTCACATATAAAAATATATAAATAATATATGGCCATTACAATAGAGATGTTCACCGTCAAAAATGACATCCTATTTTGTTTACATAGAAGTTTGCTATGCAACGATAACGAACGCGGAATAGCAGATTCAGGTCATAAATTCGTAATGCGGTTCTATGATGTTGTACATTATCACGTGAGGGAAAGAAATGTTATCAACACAACCATTTGTTAAAAATATGCATTGTAATAAATTGTGACTGGTTTGAAATGTAATTTTGTTAAGTGTGGGTTGCTTTGTTTTTTTTTAATGTTGATGGACTCTAATATTAATCTTAAGGTGATTTTTACTGTGTGTAAGTGTGAGTATTGTGTTCTCAACTAATATCTGTCTAATATTATGTACATAGCTATTGTTGCATAGCAAACTTCTATGTAAACAAAACAGGATTTCATCTTTGACGGTAAACATCTCTGTTATAATGTCCATATAACTACTCTGATGATGGCTTGTGATCTGAAAGCTTAGATCAACGATAACCAATATAATAAAGATATATCCAAATGTTGGACAGTTGTCTTTGTCTTGAAACTAAAGCCACCATACGAAGCTTAGAATGGTTCATGATCAAACATAATAGACATTTCTTGTCTGCTGTATTTAATAATATATGTTTGAACAATGATATGCTGCCTCTATACACTAAAAAATAATATATATATATATATAATGTACTTGCTTTTCTTCTCTTTCCTCTACTTCTTCTTCCCATCCCCTTTCTCCTCCCTTTCTATTACATCCAACGTCATGTGTTTGTTTGTTTGTTTATTTTTAAAAACAATAATGTAGCATTCTTTATTTTTTTTTTTTTTTTTTTTTTTTTTAAATAAAAGTGTTAAGTGGTCATTTAATAAAAAAATCGACTGAGAATACCATAGGATTGAAACCAAGATAGCAAATTCATCTGACCTCCTGATTTTGAAAGTTAAAAGCTCTACATGTTATTTTTACTTTTGTTTTTTCACACATGTATTGAGCCCTTTTTAATACTACTGTTTCTTTGTCTGATTTAACACTGACCATTAACCTTATATATATATATATATATATATATATGTATATATATATAACTTCAAGTGTTATAGTTGTTGTGGCCTTGTTAGGGCCAGAAATAAAGACACGAAGAGAGGAATCGAGTTAAACAAATATATTAACAGAAAAAGTAATACAAACATATACAGACAAGAGTGTTACAGCAAGAATTTTTATTCCGACTGTCAGAGCTGACTGCTGAAAACTTCCCTCTCCAAAAGGCAGTACCTGCTCCTATTTATAGCTAGGAGAGTCCATGCGTGTGTGGGTAAATTACCATAACAATAGTGGATACTATAATATATATTATATAATATGCTACTTTATGGATAAAAGTGCTCAATATTGGAGAGAGAGTTTATGTACATATAAAAATATAAAAGTGGATGCTCATGGGGTGCCTTTCCACTTTTGGGGGGCCTGAAGATTGTGTTCAAGCATGAAACAGACTATTCGGTGTTGACTTCAGTGTCCACTTTTATATTTTTTTATCTATATATTTGTACAGAATTAATGGAATTATTTTTAATCTGACATTTTTCTTACTTCAAACATTATTATAGTTTTCAATAGATTTCTTGAATATCGAAGGCTAAAGAGAGCATCACAGTTCACTGAGGCTCTTTTGTGCCGCCTTTTGAAATTTTTTTAAAAAAAAAAGAAGCACACTTGCTTATAAAATATAAAAATGGGTCATCTATTTCAAAGACAAATATCCACTAAATAACATTTGAAGGTTATATATATATATATTTTGAATAAAAAAACAGACCACGTTAAGATTCCATGTAATAAGCTATTTCACCATAACCCCTTTAACAGGGTTCTGGATCATCAGACTTTAAATTCCAAAAATGCTAAAATGAAAAAGAAATTCACACGTTTTTTTACGGTCCTCTTCAAGTATACATAAAGTTAACGAAGTGAGGTGGGAGAGAGGATATGAGTGTGTCATATGTATCATTTTAGTTTCCTATTTTAACCCCAGTGTGTCGGCTGGATGTTGCTCAAATTTAACGCGTCTCGTCTCTAGATTAAGGTAGTTAAGGGGTGAGCCGATAAGAACTACATTAAGGAAGACGTTCCAACAACCCCAATAAATTACACAACAGGTTTCATTCATATATATATATATATATATATATATATATATATTTATTTGGATAGATGTGAGATAGATCTATCCAACCAAATATGTTTAAGCTCTATCTCTGATATTGAGCGCTTTCTAGTTAGTACCACGCATATAATATATAAATAATTATATATATATATATATATATATATATATATATATATATATATATATTTATATACACTTTTCACACACACATATATATATATATATATATATATATATATACACACACACACAGTGTGTGTATATGAGAGAGAGGATGCACATTGGATAGCCGAGTTCAAATTCCAGTCAAATCCATTACATTCACTTACATGCTAATACCCTTGGGAAAGGTATGAATCCTCCTCTTCTCCCCCTAGCTATGGGTAAATAGCAGGACAGACTGGGTTCTATAGCCTTGGATGGCAACTGGTCTAGAAGATAGACAACTCTGAATTCAAAACCTGCAGAAGGTTGTTTGGGGACCTTGTGGCACGTAGTGCATCAGGTCTCTGTATTCGGCTCTCCAAAATGTGTGGTTGGTTCTGCACACGGCTTACACCACTATAATCAAATCATATGTGCTGGTATCTGAGCTGTTGGTTCCTAAGAACTGAGCTGCTTGATCCTCGTACTTTGAATACAACAGGAGAGACCACACACACACACACACACACATATATATATATATATATATATATATATATATATAGTAAAGGTAACAAATCTGTTGGGATATAATCCAAGTGGATCCTAGTAATATAAATATTAAAACTGGTCCACAAAAAGAGCTCAATGTATTTATTATTACAGAGCAAATAATTAGTACATATGATGAATTCTCCTTTTGAGTTCGATATATGAGGTTCCTATGTCCAATATCTGCATGCCTATGACAGGCATGACTTTCGAGGCCAGCTGAAGAATTGTACAAAAGACCACAAACAGTGCAGCAGGAACACTGTTATCTGTTTTATTTCGCTTTCGGGTTTCACGCAGTCAAATGATGCTTACTGCTTGATAATGCTTTATTCCTGCATGGCAGCTGGAATGATACGCTGATCTCTGTATATAAGAACAAATAGAGTATAATTCTACTGTCCGTACCATTTAATTTTTAAGAAAAAGGCTCAATACAGATTAGAGCTTCATATTATTTTTTATAGGAGATTAAACAAAAACATGTTAAAAAATAATTGCATTCAATTGTTTCTTAAAGATGCCTTTTAATTTTCAACTACAAAATCTGTTACAATTAACTGTATATTTGATTATCTTCCTACCCCCTCCCCTTAGCTTCTTATGGAAAATTGAACAAGTTATATTTGTCCACAAATTTGATACAATGCTGCAACTTGCTTATAGTTTGAATTAATCTCATGCCTGCCACAAATGACCTTGTCTAGGATTCTATTTCAGGCTACATTTATGACATGATCTAAATTTAAGGTTAATTTTGAATTTAGTATAGGTGATTGGTTAATCAAGGTAAACCTACAAGCTTCATTTTAATTCTGATATGTTGCTTTTTCGTCTTCACGACTCTTTCAAAAAA